ATGAAATTATTTACCCATATTCACAGCTTACACTCTCATCTTTAAAATGACTGTATAGTCACACTTATTAAGTTTGTTGATGTTGCTGCCCTTGTCCCTGCGAGGAATAGTCACCCTTTCTATTTGTCCAGGTGACCATTGTGAAAGTAATAGGAAATCCAACATTTTACAGTTGTCTCTTTGTAGAGCTTTCCTCTCACATCTTGTTGTATATCCAGGATAGGAAGTGAAGAAAAAAGTTTCCAACAGAACACAGACAACAAAAAATACATTGACGGGAGTCTTAGGCCTCCCATACTCTATCCATATTCTATATTATTTGACAATTTAATGTTTTGCCTCATCACTTGTTATGTTAAGTTATTATTAGGTTAAATTTAGAACTTTGGAGGAGGGATTTCTGGTGTGATTTGGAATATATAGCTTTCTGAGGATGCCGCAGGAAGTCCCAGTGACATCATCCTCACCAACTTAAAGTGCTGTGAGCTGTCTTGTAATGTATGTATTGTAAACCTTTTCTCACTATGTTTTATTTCTTTTTACCTTCAAAGTGGGATTCTAGCCTTACCTGTTGTTATCCCATTTGATTATACCTCTGGTGCTTGGTGGAATACTGTACTGCTCTTTAATTTACCACTGTATGCCCCTGAATGCTAATTGACGGGCATTGTGGTAGTCACATTTCCTGTCTGTATGACACCCACTGGCAGAACTACCAGGGTTGCAGCGGTCGCATGTGCGACTGGGCCCTAGCATTCCACTGGCTCCGGTAACCATCGAGGAGGAGAAGCTAGTGAGCTGGAACAGCTGAGCTGGTAAGCTGGAACAGGTGAAGGCACCACTGTACTACTACCAGGGAAGAAAGACAGTAAAAAGCGATATTGATATTTTTAAATAATTAACATAATTATCGGCTATTCATAATTAATAGTAATCTCTCCCCAGGTAGCAATATTAAGCTACCCCAAGGATGATTTATTATTGGTGCTGGGAAGGGGGGGGGGTGATTATTATTGCTGCTTGGGGGTTATTTAAAAAAAACGCTTGATAATTAATATTATTTCCTCCAGGCAGCAATAATAACAAGTGATAATTAATATTATTACCTCCCAAGGCAGTGGTATTGCGGTACCGTGCATTGTCTTGCGGTCAAACTAATTGTGGCCTGGAGGTGCCTTTCCGGTGCCATTCAAATGACTGTAAAAAATTATCGGTGTGTTGCGCGGTAACATGCGTTATTCACATGGGAACATGTGATTAACACACAGGGGGCCCTGTCTGGGGGGAGAGGGCCCTTCGTGGTTTCTTGCACCGGGGCCCTGAGGTTTCTAGTTACACCTCTGATGACGCCTAGTGTCCCGCAAGAACCACTGAACCTCATAGATACCACAGGCTTCAGGGGCTGTCAGTCACAAAGGTCGAGTCCTGTGTTGTGAACCAATTTTCAAAGAGCCTGTTTCATCTGGGGGAGAAAGAGTTATAGCTGCAGAGTCCAATACTCCCTATGCACACTGAATCATAGGACTCAGGCATTCCTCTTCAGCAGTTGGTAAATTGCTCAGATTAGCATCTTATGCTGTTCACTATGATCTGGACTGCAAACAGCTGTAACACAGAGCATCTGGTTTACTGCCTTCTGCTGTTTAAATCTAGGCAAAGCTGTGTGTATAAGTATAGTCATATTTTCAAAATGTCAATGACTGGTGCTGTGGATATTACTGCAATGATATGCTGGCTCCACCTGACTCCTCCCGCAGACCAGTTCATAAAAACAATCACGGGTGGTCATGAAGCAAGGCTATGTATACAAATATACTGTAGATTGCTGCAGACTAGTGATCTAGCCTGGAGTTTATCCAGGGGGTAGATGCAAGAACAGTTTAACTAGTAATTAATATAAATTTATGTTAAACTCATATCAATCAAAGTAAAAAAACACAAACTCAGGTAGAACATATCTCCCTTCAACATGATGCTCAAATATGTTCTGCTATTGTGAATGAGGACTTACATCCTTCTGATCTGCTGATGTTTTTGTACATCTGTGCAGTACATTATATTACTGAGATCATCGTCCAGTGCACAATAGTATATAGCTGCATCTCTCAGCTCCAGATCAGATATGGTTATTATGGTTGTGGTGTAATTTGTTGTCTGAATAAGTCTGTCATTGTTAAGTTCTCTGTGATAACTACAAGTATAGGAAGTTGACCCAGGAACCAGAGGCATAACTAGAACCTTCAGGGCCCCGATGCAAGAAACAATGAAGCCCCCCCACCCAACCGTGGTTAACAGGAAGGCTGTCAAGGTCCCCAGCAAGCGCGGGACTTCGGGCAGCCGCTTGTTTACAATTTTAGTGCCGGTGTTCTGTCGAGAACGCTGACCCAGTATCTGCGTTTACGTACAGATGGGATTAACGAGGAAACCGCCATTCATTTACAAAGTATTTGTTTGTAATGGTTAATTGTGACCGTTATTAATATACCATCCATGGCAGGAAATGATGGGTGGAATATTATTAACAGTCACAATTAACAATTTAAACGAAATGCTTTGTAAATAAATCCCTGTTTCCTCAATAATACCGATCTGTGTGTAAGCGCAGATGCTGAGGTTGGCAAATTCGACTACATCGGCGTTCTCGACAGAACACTGGTATCTGCATTTAGTATTTTCACGAGTATGAGTACTCGTGAGAATACCCAGTATTGGCAGTGGTGTATCCCTACTTAAAAAATACAATGCATTGCTGGGACTTGTAGTCCTACATAGTTGGAGCTATTCTGCATTACTGTATAATCATCATACAGCAATGCAGAATACCACCAGCTATGCAGGACTACAAGTCCCAGCAATACATTATAATAAAAGTCGGCTATGCAGAATACCTCCAGCACCCCCCCCCACTCTATAATGCATTGCTGGGACTTGTAGTCCTACATAGTCGGAGCTATTCTGCATTACTGTATAATCATCATACAGCAATGCAGAGTACCAGCAGCTATGCGGGACTACAAGTCCCAGCAATACATTATAATAGAAGTTAGCACTACAGAATCCCACTACAACCCCCCCCCTTTCCCACTCCAGACTTACCTTCCTTCTCCAGCAGCCCTCTTCCTCGTCTCGTCTCCCCGGTCAGGGGGCGGGGCTAAGAGTGTCGGGTCCTCACACAGCAGAATGTGCTGCCCGGCGG